ACATGGGTATTGTTTTATAAAAGTTAATAAAACCATGTCAAAGTCATCATCATTAATACTTTGGTCAAGAAACTCATCATCATTTTCACTATTGTGAGATGATTTATTATTTTGATAATAATTATGTTCACTCATAATTTTAATCAGATTTAATACACCTTTTCAAAGATTTTCTTTTTCATTCACAGTATCGTCTCAAACTGAAATAAATTTACGCAGGTGAAAATAAAAATACATTTCACTTGGAATCGGGGTTAGGTTTAACGTTGATATAAGTATGTATCACGTCGCTTGTATCATATAACTTATCTTGTAGCATATATCACCGTTTCGTGCGGTAGGCTTTAGTGTAAACTCTTTGCACTGGTGTGCACTAGTGCAGAAAGTGTTTCGAAGAAAAACTGACCTCTGGTGAGTTAGAGTCTCCGCGTGATAATTTTTATTTCGTTATTTATCAAATAAAATAGACAATAGACGAAGTGTTGTAAAACATTTATAAAGAGGATAACAAACCAGACGATTAGATTTTAATTTACGTTGCATCATCTTTTCAGTTGCCAACCTGTGATCACGTTTATCTGACGTAACCTCAAATTTCACTTCGAAAATGAAGAACACGAAGACTGTATTTAAAATAATGCAATCCAATGGATTTGCAATGGCATATCGTACATGTTTTAGAAAATATTGCACCACGGATGAGATATACACACTGTCCAAAAAGAAGGTAGCACATCCGTATCAGGGAATTCATCCGTGGAAGTCAAAGGACGAGTTGGCAAAATATTTGTTGAAAAATATTATTTATAACGCAGGTGAGAAATTATATTTGCCTATATGAAGGAATTTAATGGTAAAATTATCCGTAATTGACTATAAAAAGCTAAAGCACAGATATCATGACACTAAACAAATCAGGGTAAAGACCCTTATAAACATATTTAATATTAAAAGAAAAACATGTTATTCTAAATGTTTCGGTTAAATTCCACCCTTCTCATGAATACTATTAATTTTTTCAGTAGAAATTTCATTACAGTAAAAGTTTCAATTGTATAATAATCAATCCAAGTTACATAAACAATACAATTTTTCAGTTATTTGTATGTTCTTTTAATGATGTATAATGCATATATGTGTGTATGCACACATGCGTATGCTATACACAACTATTACGCAAATACAACGCAAATAATATCTTTTTAAATTAATTTGCAGAGGATTTTTTTCTTTTATTTCAGGTGGAATAGTCGTAATAAATAAACCATATGGTATACCTGTAACTGATACATTTACAAATGATAAAAATTTACCTTCAATGCAATCTCATAAAATTGCGAATGCGTCGAATTATTCCATAGAAAGTGTCTTACCATATATTACAAAAGAATTAGATGTTCCAGCCTTGATACCATGTTCGGGAGCAGAAAAGTGTGTCGAGAGAAAACTTTTTTTCTATAAACACACATATATAAATTATAGTATAAATTAATTTTTCTTTTCATAGATACATGAGTGGTACTTATGTGTTTGCAATCAATGATGATGTGGTAAAGCAGGTAATGAAGGCAAAACTACGAGCAACTCACTTTAACAAATTTACAAAGTACTGGGGAATCACGATTAGACTTCCACATGAGATCAAAGGATCGTATCGTCTAGCAATGATATTAAAAAAATCTGAATATGGAGTGAAAAAGGTAGATCCTACGTTTGTGTACAAACATTTCATATATGGATTAATATCTTTTGAAATAATAATATGTTTGTATTCTAGCCTATTTTTATGACACATTGGTCTAAAAATGAAGAGAAAAGGGGGGATGTTAAGATTATGAATGTAAAATACAAACTCCTGTCGAATTCTACGAACAACTTAAGTTCTCTGATAGAAATAGAGTCGTCTGCAAGAAAGTGGCAATGTATTAGATTATTTGCTAGCATTATGTTGTATAGCCCGATTCTCGGAGATAATTATCATGGATCGCGAGTTCAAGAAATCATGGGTACATGGATGAAAGTTGATCCATTTGCCGAATCGAGTTGGGACTTGCCAAAAATAAATCGACAGTTGTTAGAATTGCTGGAATTGTCGCCGCGTCAACAAGAAATTATTCCAGTTCACCTCCATATGAGAAGTATGAACTTGTTCTCTTTTGGCAAGGAAAAGAAGAATATAGTATTAGAAGCACCTTTGATACATCCTTTTGATTGGACATGCAAACAACTTATGTTCAAAAATATACCATGTGAAGCTGATCATAGTGAGAGTACAGAAAATGAAGTGAAAATAAATTCCATGTAATATTTTATAACAGTTTACATAATTTGTGCGTATGTGTATGTGTGCGCGCATGTGTGTGTGTGTATGTACGTAATTAATATACAAATGCAATAAATAAGCTCTTGAAATTGAGTCAACTAGTGGCATTTATTTTTTCCATATACATTTTCATGTATCATATTTGTTAAATTGATGATATATTTATTACTAATGACTCAAGACATGTTTGCCCTTTAAAATTCTTCTCATAAGAATTCTTCTACCACCTGGAGTTGCCATTCTAGCGTACCATCCATGTTTCTTGATACGCATACGTTCATTGGGATGTGGAAAGTGATATCTCATTCTATTTCTGACAAATGTCATACTCCATGAGTTCCATAATCCAGGTGTTGCATTAAACATCGAACAAAGTTGGCTCGAAGTTCCTGCTTTCCTAAGGAGATGAATTTTAATAAAATTATACTTTGATATACATGTTATGTTAATACATATATACGTTTTATTGCTCGAGATTATAATGCATCTTGTTGAGCAATATTAACAATATAAATAACAGTTGAAGAAAAGTCAATTGAAATGCTTAGAGGTAGGCTTTATTCCATTGAACACAATGCTATATAATTTCTTGCATTGAAGATTTATAACTAACCCTGGCAAGGAAAAGCGAAGTAGCAGGATATGAATAAAAAGATGATATGAATAATACAATATATGAATATACATTCTGTTTGATTAAAGCAAAGGCATAAAAAATCATATGGAACACATCGACTACATTCGGGCTTCTAAATATAACGCTATCAATCAACATCATAATAATTAGTAGAAGTAAAAGTATCTCATACGTACGGCAAGGATTGAAATATGCCAGAAATAAATTTGTGGATCATCATGCTTTTTGTATCACAAACGTTTCAACAAGATTTTAAGTATAGTGAGAAACGATGCGTTTTGACTGAGAAATTTGAGGTTAATTCTACGTAAACTACCGACTTGCGCGATAACTACGCAATATGTTTGGCGAAAATTGCCGAACACTTCCGAAGACTCAATAGAGGCCATTTTTCTTCTTGATATGCCGGCAAAAGACGGCACTTTATGAATGTAATATATCTGAAAATTATAAACTTTAGTTGCAAATGCTTTTTACTAAATTATCATTATTTTCGCTCAAAATTATGTGGAGTTTTATATATTTTTTGTGAAAAGGGGATTTTTCAAAATTATATTAAATTATATATAAAATATATCGTAAAATATGTATTTAATAAATTGGCTTCTCTTTACGATAAAATTGGAATCACAAAGATTGGAATGACACGTTAATTACTGCATTGCTGCATTATTTTTTTTATTACCTTTTCGTGAAAATTTGCCCTACTTTGTGATGATTCCATTGTCATGTGGCGCACTCTGATAAGGAACGACACACTATTACTTTCAATTTCATTGACTGCAATACCATCACGTAAAATGTTTCTTTGCAGCGAATTTTTTTTTAATTTTTCTTTCATGCAGTTTCGGCATAATAGTCAAAAGGTGCGTTATCGTTAATTATATTTTATTAACTTCGTTTATTTTAACGTTCTAATGAATATATCGAATATTTTATACACACTGCAAAGTGTATTATTTTATTTTTTAAGTAAATGTGATTTAAAGAAAAAACGTAATTTTTAAATGCAAATTTTAGTAAGCCTTGTGATTGGCCGGCTTGCTTGATCGATTCGAACTATCGATACTTCAAAAATCGCAATCATTATAATGGCGACGCGACAGTTCGGATCAAATGTCGCTCCGTATTCTCGCGATTTTGTCTCGCCGAAGATGAGTGTCGTGCGTTGAATTATCGTCGTCGGGAGTGCCGAAAACAAATTTCATGCGTTTATTATTATTAATTATATGAGAACATTGTTAAATAATCGTCGAAGGTAAATATGTCGCGAACTGGACGATCGAAAATACCGAGCAAATGATCGTGCGTTTGTCATTGTACGGCAGCGTATGGCAGTTGAAGCCAAGTCACTTTTCGATTCACTGGAGAAATCTTGTGCGTGAAATATTACCGGGAGTAATAATCGAAGGTAAGTTTTGCGAGAATCTGTCGTGCGGAAATATTGATCAATTAAGACGTACTGATTAAAGCGAACATCATATGAAACGACCGTTGGAAATACTGAGTGAATCCAGACAATGTCGAAAATCGGAGCGTCTTCAAAACATCTATGAAGCATCTTAAAGGCGCCTGCAAGTAAAATGTCTTAAAGATATTTTAAAGACGTTCCGATTTTGTGCTATCCGTCGCGAGGTACTTCAAGTATCTCAATCGGGGTACTCCCTTGATTTATAGATTACGTTCCGATATTCACCGCAAATATTGAAAATCTATATAGTTCACGTATACTATAGATCCTCAGTACTGGCAGTGAATATCGGAACTTATATTTTGTCTCTTTAGCTGGACTGGTTGTACTAATTTAAGAAATTTACATACATATTGATGCGTACGAAGCGTGAGATTCTCACGCTTCACAGTGCTTCAGTGTGCAGATTTCTTGAACTGATGCAGCCAACTAAACAGAGCAGATCATTAGTTGGTTGTGGTGAGATGGAACTGATTCAATAAGCAACACTTGTAAATTTAATTCGCCGGACGAGCGCGAGTTATCAAGAACGCCGGAAGTAAGTCTTGTACATTTGCTATGATAAGAACATTGTTATAAACCGCCGCTGTAAGTAAATATCTCGTGAAAAGGAGATCCATTGAGACTAGCGCAATGGCGTCTACGAATTCAAATCGATCCGACTCTCTCGTGCGCAAATTATCACCGGCAATACCGAAAGTAAGCATCGTATGTTTGTGTAGTGAGATGCTGTTGCGAAACGAAGGTGCAGAAGATCTATTCGTTGAATCCCGCACTTTCAAATCATCGAGGAAAAAGTCGATAAAGTAATAAATGTTGCGATTCTTGCCTATCGAAACTTACGCTTTATTTTCAACTTTAGACCAGGCATAAAGTAATCGGGATTTTCTTTTTTTTTATAATAATGCAAAAAACTTGTTGTGAAATCAATATTTTGAGTAAAAGTAAAAATAGGGAAGCGTCGTTGCTTATTCTATAGATTTGAAATCAATATTAAAGATTTCTTAAATATCCTGAATTAATTTTATAATTTATTATTTACATGTTTCGCAGATATATATTTAAAGCACTGTAACACATGGTACAAAACACTATATAAGATATATTATTGATTGATTAATTGGATTATGGCAGTTAGTTAGTATCGTGAGAATATAATATTTAATCAACCGACGAACTCTTATTGAAAAATTTAAATCTTCTTTCGGACAGTGGGATCATTAAGAACAGTGTTGCCTTGTAAAATATCTCAAAGGCTCTGTCGCAGCTGCTATAGTTTGTTCAAATTTAACCAAAGTATTATGGTAAGCAAATATTTTGAATACAATCGTCACACTTGTACGCGTGGCATTGTCGTTTTATGCATGTAAAAATATTTACCGACCATTGAAAGGATTTGTGAGTGTCCGTCAAAGTTGTCCGGGATAGCTTCAATCGATCTATCAGTATGGAGCGTGTTCACTGATTGACCCATTCTGAAGTTCACAATGGTAAACTCTCAAAGGGCGCAGCTTAGGAGTACGGCCTTTGGGAATACGACACAATATCCTCGGTCATTCAACGACGAAGTTTATGAAAGGTGCAACACATGACCGACAAATTTCTACGCACAAAGGCAATGATCGCTACATTATATAACTTTTATATCCTTTGTTGCAAGTTTTAAGCAAAATTAAAAATCGTATTCACACAATTGCAACCAGTGCATTTGAGAACACTTTTGTATAAATCATGTTCCGTTGTCCTCAACAACTTGACACCAGAATTATTAATGTTCGTCTACAATTCGTGCACAGTATATATATTTATAAGAAGTATATATCCCAAACGATATAAAAAACTCGATTAAAAGAGATCTAAAATATTGGCATATTTATTTAAATATTTGATATTCATTTATATATTCCGTTTATATAAATATTTATGTATATATTTAAAAATATAAATAATATATGCCAATGTTTTCTAAACATTTACCCCAATACCGACGGGAGAGATCTCTTTTAATCTCGAACTTTTATATCGTTCGGATGTGTCGAAAGCATTTCTTGTTTAATTCATACGTGAAAATGTGCTATATCAACAACAATGAAACCTGATCGTGCATTACAATCACTCTCTCGATTCCTCCTCTTCGCGTCCTCTATCGTTCTTTCGTCTAATGCACCCTGTGGTGCCGACCTACCCCATGGGAGGATTAATCTCGATAATAATCGAACCGCCGTGACCCCATTGGCGTGGAACGCATTCGTCGAGCACGCGTGCATCCATGACGTCATCGTCTCGCGGTGGTGTTGACCGCGAGGCCTTTGCCCCGATGTGATTTGGATTCGGTGAATGTATGTGGGCGATATTATTGTCGATTTATCAGCACTTGATCTGAAGAAAATTTATACACAATCAATATTAAGTTTTTATTAGGTTAATTTTAAAGCGAATCTTAATTTTAAAGGTGACAAACATAACTTTATATATATACACGGGAATTGATAATTATTTTACATTATCGATCTATATTTTTTTATTTGACTAATTAAATGCGCTTAGACGACTCTTGGCATGCACAATTAAAGCTCAAAATTATAGAGAGAATATCGTTTACAAAAGAAACAAGGTAGACGATGCAGCAACTGTTTTCCGGATATTTCTTTTCCGTATTTTGAAAATGCACCCACACATAAGATATTTGTAAACGATCAAAACGCAGGCGACCTTTAATTTGAGCATAAATGACCCCCGATGTTTTCTCCTCATCTATCTTATAATCAAAAAATTCACTTATTTCAGCTCTAAACATAGATCATCGTGCCGTTGCTTACATTACGAAAGTATAGTCATGCGATTATTGAGAGAGCAATGTAACGATACCATCTCCTCGTGATCAATTTAATGAGCGATATAATGCTATATGATCGGGGTTTGGTTACGTAGGAAAATGGTGTATCTCTTGCCATTCAAAGGGCGCACTTAGTCACATAGAATGGACCTACCCCGTGGGTGGATAAATTTTTTTATCTACGCTCGTGATGGAGTCGCTGTGACCTATTTGCTATGTCACGTGGAACGTGTACGCGGTCGCACACATCACCGAATATGTTATCGATTAAGTACGAAGCGCGTTTAAAATGAAATTAGCCCGAAATCTTCCTAATTCGACCAGTCCATACTTGAGATGTGAGATTTCTCCGTTTTTCTCTTTAACAAGTTTGTTCATCCGATGATTTGTTCGCAACGCTCGACGGAAAATTTCATCCTGCCACAAATAATATTGACAATATTAATATAACACGTGTGTTGCTTCTCATAGTCTAATATTCTTTCCTACTTTAATAGGTACATTCGCATTTTATAATATCGCTTTGCGATCTACGTTTCTTATTTAACGATTGATAATCAGTTTCTTTTTACAAGTCTGCTTATTAACATTGGCTTTTATTAGAGTGTAAGTGTAAAGTGTTTTTTATTAGAGTGTAAAGATATGGAAAAAACCGAAGCAAAGGAACCTTTTTTAATTATTTCCCTCTTTAATTATACGGGATAGAACATTTCACGGGGAAGGCAGCTATTGTTAACAAAAGTTAATTTTTTTATCGGGATATGAAAGATCTTTGTCAAAGAGTTCTCTCTTCCCTAAGAAATCATGCATAAAAATAAGGGCAAATATGTCACATGGGCACCCGGTATATTGTCAACTGTCAGTTGACAAGATACAGGATGCGCCTTTTCCGTTGCGAGAGTTCCAAACCGGCACTCCCATCCCATAGAATTGCGCTCAATCGTCCATCGATTCAACACGAGCGTGTCGTAGCGCCGGCGGACTTATTATCGATCGGACTGTATCTTTCTTATGAATTACGAGTCGTTGTCTGCGGACGTATTTAGTTA